ATATATATATATATATATATATATATATATATATATATATATATATATATATATATATATATATATATATATATATATATATATATATATATATATACAAATGAAACCACTATGGAAAGAGAAATATCCACGTTAGGTAAGTGGAATTCAGGAACCAAATTCCAAAAAGGGAGGAGAAATATAATTACCTTAATTTTATATATTGAAAAATCATGAATGATACTCGCTTCACCATCATTAGTACCTCCTAATATTTCATGCCCTCATAAGGAATATATCTCAACATTCAATATTTATTTCTTACTTCTTAAATAACATAATAGAAAAATCTATTTTGATTTTATATAAATATAAAAATTGATATGAAAAAAAAACTCATGTAGATCCTTCTTGATCCTTATATAAACCTCCGTGAACACCTCCATTTTCTTCTCAACTCTCGTCGCAAGGAATAACCATGAAGAAGATCAAGCAAAGATCATCGCTCTTAAAGAAAATAGTAGGTTATCGATCTTTTATTTTAGTTTAAATTTATCGATGATTAGTTTCTTAAACATTTTATCAAATTAGGATATTTATAAATTTTAAATTAAAAAATAGTATACCATATTTTAATTATGTTCATGTCTTCATATGTTTAGATTATTTGTTAATGTTAATATAGTTATTTTGAGATTTTATATTATGATGTAAAAATTATTAATAATGTTCATGTCTTCATTAGATTATTATAATAAAAATAATATTTAAATTAAATTAAAATACTAAGAAACGAATGACTATTGAGTTTGAACGATTCGACTTGAACCCAATCGATTCAACGCAAACTCGAGTCGTCACGGGCCAGGTTCATAAATTGATTTCATATCATTTCAAAACAGTTAGAGTGAATTTAGGCCTATATAGCTTGAGTCGAAATCGAACTATTTCAAAATTAGACCAGATGATTTTGGATGATTCTAGATCGATTCGATCGAATGAACCCAATCTAACACCAATCTTGTAGATGTTTAATCTACCTTCTTTTCTTTTTCGTTCATGGAAGTTCATCTTTTATTCTAGAGCAATGTTTCTTTAAAGCCACCTGAGTTGATTGATATCTAGAACTCGAACATAGTTCCTTAACGTAGGGTTACTCTGTGCGTTGCATGAACAGGCGAGGAAGCTGTTTTCGTTTGGATCTTCGGGATCAAGAAGCACCTATAGCCAATGCACTTCTTCACCGGCATATCCTCCACCTTCTGATGAGTTGCTTGATGACTTGCTAGGCGACGACCGTCCAAGTTTTCATCCTCCAACTGTGGAAGGCGAGGGTGCATCTCATTTGCTTGGAAGAAGACATACGTATCCACTCTGTGTAAGCAACAGCTACTTGAGAGAAGGGAATCATGTTTCCCTGGGTGAGATGTTCAGGTTAACATCCAGATGTGGAAGCACACCAATCCATGCAAATGGTTGCCAACCGCAGTGAGTGCTGCAATTTTGCTATTATTTTTCTTTGCATTTGTTTGGCTCTCATCGGTATTATGCTCATTTGTGGTCGTGTGCTTCCCAGTCTCTTCTGGTTTGGTTTTCTGTATTCTACTGTATGAATTTTTTTGTCATTATTGAGATTTATAAAAAATTATAGTTTCTATTAGGATCGTATTCCTTTTATCTCTTTTTGTACCATTAAATTAATTGTTTCATCTCTTCCAACTATCATATCCGTCGATCTCCTAAGCATATATCCATACTATCTTAAATGATTTTATCTTATCTTATCATTTGTCGAAACGATACATAGATGTTCAACTTGAACATAAGGCTTGCAATATTATTGGGTATAATACAACACACAAACTAGGATCAATTAATCTCATATACAACAGGAGTTGTACACCCCGATATAGGTCTTGTATCATCTAGTACATAACCTGTATTTTTTTTTATGCTATATCAAATATATTTTATATATTTTTAGTATGTATTTTTGAACATAAGAGGTGGTCAAGTTCAAAATAGTAAATAACATATGTTTCTTTGATGCCTTAAAGACCTACCTCATCAGTGACAAATTGGTGTCAGAATTAGCAAGACTTCTCATGGATTAACCACAAGGAACTCCTCAGAAACATAACACCATCATACTCTGATGTGATTAAAGAGATCTAATACACACTGCAGATAATCTAAGCAGCTCTAATTGAGGGGTTAATGCTGATAATTATAAATGTGAAACAGATTGTTCCTCTTTTGGTTTTTCTTGGTTTTACATCTGCCGAGAGTGCTAATTATATTTGGATCATTTACATGTGCTATTATGATTTGGACGTTTGATATCTTTTCCGATAATTCTAATCCATCTCTTTCATTCTCTGTGTTTTAGATGCCATCAATTTGCAGGAGAGAGAGCCACAAGGCCTGAAACGAATGATCCATCTCGAAACCAACATTCTCTTAGTGTATTAAGAAGAGAGTGCGAGATTGCTTCGGAAAGGTCAGTGAAATGTAGTGCTGGTTGTGTACCATGGTTTCCGAAAAGAAGGAAACAGGAAGGTAAGCCTACAGCACTGCCTTCATCGACCTACAACGAAGAGGATCCGAGAACAGTCTCAGTCTCATTCATGGAGGAGGAGGAGGAGGAAGAAGGTGTCCTTCCTCACCTCCCTGTACAAACCTGGACGACAGTCTCATTCATGGAGGAGGAAGATGGTGCCTTTCATCACCTCCCTCTACGAACCTGGACTAGAAATGATCACGAGGCAGAAACGAGTGCAAAGAAGCCAATGGATACACTTCGTGGGAAAGCAATTATGGATTCCCGAGACGATGACTACGACAGAACAACCATTTCTGGGGACAACTTCGACGATTTTTGTGAATGGCAGGATGAGGTCAGACTTGGAAGACGTGATTGGGTTCTTGAAAACGAATTATACAGCACTGGTGCTGAGCCGCAACACACAGATGATGAGCTAAGAGAAAAATTGGAAGCCGTAGAGGAGACGTTAAGATGTCTAGCCGATAAAGACTTGAAATACCTGACGATCCCGATCGGAAAGATACCTAAGCAAGCATTGTTTGATGCACTTCGAGAATGTGCAGACGTCAGGAGGTACCAATTGCTACAGTTAGCAGAACAATTGAGGGGCAGAATCGCTGATAGGTTTGAAGCAGCAGAGCATTTGATACAAGTTAGGATGGACCTGGACGCTCGGGCTAGGAGATTGGAGTGGGAGAAGAGTGAAGTCCAAATTAGTTTGGAGAAAGAACTGGAGAGGAGGTCGATCGACTACTCCATGAAGCTTAAAATGCTTCTGGTGGATGAACAGGAGCTTAAGAAACAGGTGAGGGAACTGGAAGAGCAAAGTGCATCACTCCAGCGTGAGATTTCTTGGCTTGGAGGCGGTGGCAAGCAAAACCAAGTTACGACTGCGAATTCTGAGATGGAGATCACTGACCTGAAGGCTGCTGTGGAGGAACTGAGAACGGAGAATGGCAAGCTTCGAAAAGACTCGTCGGAGTTGCAGGAGAAGCTCGATGCGAGTGAAGAAGACCGGCGACGTATCGCACGATGCTTCTGCGAGAAAGAAAAGGAGAATAACGAGTTGCAGAAGTTGGTTGCGAGTCTGAAACAAGAATGCGACGAACAAGAGAGGACCATTAGTGGTTTGAGATTAGTGTATAACAACGAAGTCGAAAACAGACCGACAGACGAGAATGATCAGCTAAGCAGACTGCAGATGGAGCAGCTAAGGTTGACGGGTGTCGAACAGAAGCTGAGGAAGGAGTTGGAGACTTGCAAGCATGAACAGGAGAAACTTAGACACGAGAACATTGGCCTGTTGAGTCGTTTGCAAGATGCTGGAAATGGCGGTGATGTCTCATGGATTAAGCTGGACGAGGAGCTTCGTGCTCGAGTAGATTGCTTGCAGACGGAGGGCTTGTCCTTGCTCGGCGACCTATTAGGACTCCTCGACAGCCAACGAGTCGAACAAAAGCAGGAGCCCAGAGATGACACCAGTGGACATTTACCTGTCGATTACACCATCAGAAACCAAAGCTTGAGTAGAAGACATGAAAATTTCAGAATTAGTCTACAAACTGTAGCAAAAATTTTAGATGAGAAGTCACTGCCTGCAGAAGGTAGCAGCATGTCGAAGCAATCAGAGGTAAAGGCCACATATTGTGATCTCTGAATCTTAATAAGAGGAACTGTTATGTAGTGCATGTGAACAATGACAATGTCTCTGTCGACTAGATTGCTGTGTTCTTGTTGATGTTCTTCTGTTTCCTACCTGTGCAGGCTGAATTAGAAATCAAACAACTGGAGATTGAGTCCCAAGAGTACACAAAGGAGCTAACTGCAGCTCGAAGTATGCTTTCAGAGGTGACTGAGCAGAGAAACCAGATGTGGGAAGAAGTGAAGAAATCAAAAGAGAACATTATGCTTATTGATGATGAAGTAGCTACTCTAAAAAAGAAGACGAAAGAACTCAAGGAGGACATTCTTACCGAGGAGGGGCAGATTGCTGATCTAGAAGATAGCCTGGAGAAACCTTTTGACCTCATTTGTAGTTCTACATCAATGGAAGAGTCTCAACAGAAATAATGTGATGCCTTCCCTCCCATCCATATCGGTTCTCTTTGTATGTGTTACTTTTTAGATGTAAATTCTAGTTGTTTGTACACTATATTTCAGCATATAAAAAAAAAATTTCAACATGTTTACAGGAGAAATCCATTCTTTTTCCAATTCAAAGACAAGTACTTTGTCTCTGTATTTTCGAGTTGAGAATTCTTTGTAGATGAAGAGATGTCAAAGGGGTTTATTACTTCTCAAACAAATACTCCTATATCACAAGAAAAGAAACAATAGTTTGTTATCTAATGGATCTTTCTTTTCTAATACTCCACCACACAGTATATTGTATGAATGAATTATTGCTACCACAAGTAGTGTCATTCTAACCATGGTTCGCCAACATGTAAACCATGGAATTCATATTCTTTGTACACTGATATAAGAGCCTCTTGGTTTCACTTTAAGATCCATCAGAGCTGAGCAATCATAGTGAGAGAGCAGATCATTTCCAATTTTTTATGCCATGATTTTGAGTAAGAAAAAACCTCAAAATATCTATAAATACCCCCTAAACTTCTCAGTCTTTAGTGATTAATTCCAGGCAGCAAAAATAAGACATTGAACTATCTTTCTGTTGATGTGACTAATGGCTTAGAACACTGTAGCTGTTTGTAGTACTTTGATTCAAAGCTACAATTTTTTCATGATGGAGTGCTTAACATGTCAGTTTTGCATACCTCCGATCAACATGACTAGACTATCCACATTAGGAATGCATTTTACCTCATTTTGTTCACTGACTATTCATGATTACTTGTGTTCTAAGAAAAATAGTTGTGCACTGTGCAATTTCTGTGGCAGCTTACTAATTACTCATTTATCTATGGAGAACATCTCCCTTCTTTCTAATGGTTCATATGAATCACTAGAGTTGGAAGGCATGTCCTGGTTGCAGTACCGAATGGCCCGAAACAGAGTTTGAGGATGCAGCTGAGTAGACCCAGGTGACTTAAGCTGATCCTACTCCAAGAAAGAGGCACAAATGCAACAACATCAAATCTACAAACTCTGTACACAGAATACAATGAACCATAACTTATCCACAGAGTTAAGTGTTCAAAGGAATAATGCAGATGTTACAGCAGTGCAGAGTCTCAAATGTCTTCCCATAGGAAGGCAGCTCTCAATGCAAAGCTATGACAACAGATTAAAGAGCATCGAACAAAGCAGCACGACTCAAGGCTGCTAGATACTGTTCTCCAAATCCAAAACACAACAAGAAAACAATATATCAAGGAAAAAGAGGAATACCGAAGTCATGATAGGTTTCCCTTCATGAAAGATTGAGCTAATAAGCTCTCTAAAGAGTAGCATTTGTACTAACTATAACCAGACATTGTTTCTTTTAAGAATAAAATTTTAGAGAGGCTATTTGACTACTACCTGGTTGAACAAAAAAAAAAAATAATGGTCACTCCAAGTACAATTCAGAAGCATATGGAAGTTACTAAGTAAAATTGGACCAAAATAAAACATGAAAATACCAGCAGATAAATCAAATACACATAAATTAGTAAACTACAACAACAACAACAACAAAAACATTTTCATGTTATTTCTACATGGATTCCATTATTGTTATACAAATACAAGCGAAAGAACACAAAAACACAGCTGATCCACACCTTCACCATGTCTGGCTTGTGATTTGCACCTTCGGGAAGAAAGTGTGAATGATACATCTGCTATTCCATCATCTGTGTACAAAACAAGCAACATCAGTAATCTAGAAACCATTCATTTCCAGAAGGTAAGTCCGTCGCTTCATCAGTGACTTTGCTGCAGCCTTGAATGGGCCCTCAAATGCTCCAAAAATAAAGGCGTCACTCTCAGTCGTATTGGTGTTAGTGCCACTGCTTCCATCAGAAGATGGCTTGATAGTCACTAGGGTGGCACCTTGTAATGCCATCCCACCAGGGAGATCCAAATAGGGAGAATATTTTAATTTCATGTTGGAAGCTGGAACTTGTGTCCTGTTTGAAGCTGCTGAGGCTACCGGTGGCTTTTCTCTGAACTCCTTCAGCTGTCCTACACCCATATTTAGTGTTCCCTGCCCATCAGCGTCGGTGAGGACCAAGCTCTTCAAAGTTGGATGGTCCTTGATAATAGGCTGGAGAAAATAGTGCCTCGTGGAAGCAGCAATCAAAGAATTGATTGTCCAGACAACACGAAGCTTTAGTCCTCCATTTGTGTAGAAAGAGTCAGGAATGCTTCCGCTGTCTTCTACAGGCGATTCGTGCTCAGAGAAGACCGGCTTCCTGTCAACTCTTGTACCCCCGAAGATTACACAATTCTGGATAGTACTCCCAAACTCAGCTCTCCATTTTAAAATAACCCCTTCCTCAGTTGCAACTTCTCCAGCAAGCAGTTCAATCCTGAGGTTGCGGACATGGGCAAAGTTCTTGAGAATTTGTGCAGGAGAGTGATGGGAGAGCTGTGGGACGATAGGTTTGTTACCGCCATTTGTGCTGTGAAGGTTGTGGAAGGGTTTTAGAAGAGTAGAGAGAATGAGCTTTACGAAGTTGGAGAAGAGTCTCCGATGCCTGGGAGAGGATGGGCTCAAGGGATCATCACAATCACCATCAATGGTCACCACATGGTCGAACTTAAGATAGACATCGTGGACCAAAAATACGAGGGAATTGAACCGTTTCGAAACAGCAGAGCAGCGACCGAGCGATCGGACATCTGCAACCTTATTGAAGATGAGGAGGACAATCGAGTCAGGCAGCCGCTCGAATTCATCCAGGTCACGGGATGGGTCAGCATATACTCTTGCTTTGGGTTGCATTTTATCAAATTCGTTCTCCAAACAGAAAGATATTTCCCTCTGACTTCAATAAACCCTTCACAATAAAATGACTTTTGCAGCTCAAAATACTGCGGTTCTTTGAAATTTGAAGATGCCGAAGCCACAGATTTCAAGATTGTCAACCACAGTTGGAAGATCACAATATTTTTTTCACAGTAAACATGAATTATGGACGTTCTATTTAACTGTTGCTGCGGGTCCGAAGCAATGGTCTGAAGAACATTAAGAATTACAAGTGCTAATTAGAACCACTGTTCTACTTGTAAATCTCGATCTATAGAAACCTACTGAATCAGCAGATTCAAACCCTACGGAAAACAAAATGTAAACACGAAATGTTTTAAATTGGACGGTGAATCTGCACACCGGAAACTAAAATTCAACAGCAGAACGACGCCAGGTCGCAATGAACCATCAAAACCAGATGTCGAAAATCTAGGAGGCTGGTAAAATCACCAAATTTTCGTCCAAAAAGATCAACACTAGGCATATAGAAACAATCAAAGACGCGATCTTTAACCTGATCCATAAGCCGAGAATAAAGCGAAGAGAATAATACCGAGAGACAGAACATTACCTAAAAGTCCATCACCCATTAGGAGGACCCTTCAAACCCATCTCCGCCCACACGAATCCCACCAAACGATCCAAAAACCCGACTTTCCTCACACTCCCAACAGCACCAGATAACTCTCCATCTCCAATCCAAAAGACCCACCCAATCCGAGTCTACAAATCCCCCAAAGTGTGGTCGATCCGAGACACGTCGATCGAGCTCCGGGCGAGAGGGAATTCGCCCAAGAAATGTCGCACGCTGAATGCAAAACCAAAGAAAATTGGCGTATTTTCCAGGAAGAAATTAGGGTTCTCGAAAGGGAAGTAGTGCTCCCTCTCTCTCTCTCTCTCTCTAGATTCGTCCTACTCTCTTTCATCTGGCCTTTTTGTGCACCGCCGTCGATATAAAGGCAGAGTTGACAGCGCCGTTGGGTCACGTGACCGAGCGTACGGAAGTACCAAGCGAAGTTAACGCCGTTAGTTCCGGAAGATCACAGAGATCTACAAAATATCCGTTTGGTATAGAGGCCGTTTATATATATATATATATATATATATATATATATATATATATATATATATATATATATATATATATATATCCCTATAAAATTAAGAACTTTCATATTTACATATATCCCTCCAAATATAGATATCCTTTTATAAGCCTACTTAAATATTAAATATACATTAGATTTATCTTCCTCTTAATTATTCAATCAAATGGGAAGGCCTTGAAGTCTTCCCACACTTGAATCTCTATGATAAACAACTCAACCTTTTTTCCTTATTTTTTTGTTATTATTTTAAGAGATGGTTGACTTAATAATTGGTAATTTGCTTCCAATAACAATTCTACAAGCACTGATGGCTCCATGATTCTTCCTCCTCTCAATGCTTCTACCATAAATGGAGAGCATTAGGTGCTGCATTTAGGTATTTGGCATAATAATTTGCCAACTTTGAACAGCCATCTTGAAGTTATAATATCCTGTGAAGATCATAAAGGACAACATTAGAAGGGATTTATTGCTTTCATAGTTAATTGGTTGAGGGCATGGATCAGCTTGCACATCTTCAAGATTTGGATAGAAGAAACACATATAGAATAATGTATGTGTACATGTACACACATACATTATAAATTAGGGTTCCTCAGAGAATCTTTGGCCACCTAATATGCAGAAAAGGAAATGTAGTACAGCAGGAGAATACTTCTGGATCAATAGATGCAGAATTAGTATTTCTTTAATGCTCTGGGGATGATTATTCATCAAGTTTCAATCTCTGCCAGATCAGGCTGACATGGATCTAACTAGTGTCCAGGTAATGATATCAAGCAGAGGACCACAAAATTCTACCTGCACTTGTTCCAACTTTTACCTGTTCATCAGGTACAGCCACCAACCTCATATCAGTGGCCTCTTCTTTTAGTCCTCACTTAAGAAAGAAATGAATTCACATGCGCTGATATGCAGCATAAACCATGCAGTTTCCCTCTTCATATGAACCATGGATGGCATCAGAGCTCACCAACTTCAACATGCAGATGCAGATCTAGCAAGCAGTTTTATCTTCATATTGAGCTAAATTGTTCCAGATATGTGTGCTTTGCTTCTCCCGAGAGAGAAGAAGAGATATGGTCTTTTAAACTTATTCCATCATATCAAATAGATACACTACCTTTCATGATCACTTTGTTCCTACCAGTGATGCTTTCTTCTCAGAATCAAGAGATCTTCTGCATGATATGTTTTTCTCTGATTGAGAAAATTGGAACTTTAGGTTCATACAGAGTGTCTTCTTCCTTGTCTTGCTAACAACAACAAGTAGCTGGTTCTAATGCAGAAATTCAACATCTGAATTGTCTCATTTGTCATTGTTAGATATGAACTAGATTTGTTATAAGAGCAAGCAGTGGTTGTAAAACTAATTGCTTTTAAGAAGTGACCAGTTCTGTTTCTTTTACTTTTCTTTGTGCCAAGGGAAGTTTGTGTAACTTCTTTTAGGATTGTCTGTTTTGTTCCCTTCTGTGCCATCTTTTTTCTCAGAAGAGAAACTTGAAACAGAGGCATAAGGCATGTCCGTAGCTTTTGAAACCATTTCCTTTGTTCACAAATTTGTTTCAGAAAATAATTTAGAGAAAAAAAAGGATATCACAAAGAAATCTTTTGCTATGACATCCTGATTTTTCTCTCCTGATGACAAGCATTCTCCCTCGGTTTAAACAACTAGTTTGTCTATTTATGTTTCCACAAGATCAAGACTTCTTTTGTTAGTGATACATGGAAACACAAAAATCAGAAAAAATGCCAAATAAGTAGTTCATCAATCAAGTGAAATGAACCTTCTTCTTCCTTACATCCATTTGGTCCTTGAAGTTATCAGGTTTTCTAACAAGAAAGAATGGAAAAAGAAATAGAATATGACGGAAGAGGTGATCTAACAAAACCAAACTTCTCATGAATAAAATTTTCCAATCAGAAGCTACACTGGAGGTTATGCAGATATATGATCATGTAGAATGTTTGAAGAGGATCATAGAATATTTCTTGAATCAAACCAAAAATGGCAAGTTGGTAGAATCTTCCACTGCCATGAAGCTAGAATTTGATGGAGGACTATAGCTTGAATACACTAAAGAAGATGAGGAACCTAGTTTAACACAAGATTTTTAATCTTGATCTGGTATTGGTTTCTGTAATCCAAGCGGGATGCTGATCTGTACCCCTTAGTATCAACTGAAAATAATATCAAAAATTAAATATTAATCAGTCCAAGATTATATGATCCGATGCCAGTCCTTTCTCAGATCAGTCAATCATTTGTGTATCTTCACATTTTCTAAGCATATATACATGATCTTTTATTTTATTGTGATTCTTAATTAAAAAATTCAAATATTATTTTCACCTTGGGACCATCTCATCCACTTGGTTGCTGCCACATCATCAGACAGCTTATGAGTTTGGTCGATTACAAGTGGCAGCTTAGCCTCTTACAATTCACAATAAAATTGACCTCATCATATATATTTTTATATATGAGCACACAAAATTTGAAGGAACAAATACACAGTTCCAATTTTTTGTAGAAATCTATATGCAATTTCCCCTATAATTTAAGTGGACAAGTTTAGAAAAGGCAAGAACATGTTTCTAAAAGCAAAAGTTAAACCAATCTTGCTAATTGCATCACAAAAATTCTCGTATAATAAACCTTAGTATTCAGATGCAAATAGCCACCTAAAAAGCTTCAATTTATTAGCATTTTCATCGATAAATTCAGCAAGCAGGAACTTTGATATAAACTTACAATTTTAGTTTTGCTATTGGATAAATGACTGCTGAGATGATCACTCAGATGTTTGTTGTAATTTTCTGTGTACGTATTGGTTTGAGGAGAATGCTACAATGACCATAGCATAAAGTTGAACAATGTCCATCGATGTTCTCTGTTGGATTTATCTATCTTCACTTGTTTCAATCTCCACCGATGACAAATTTGAGCCAAGCATGCTCTGCCTAGCTGCTGGATCTGGTAAAACAGGCAAAATTGGGCCACCAAAATCTTCATGAACTTTAGACAACTCATCTCCAATGACATCAAGCTCCTTGATTATTGATATCTCCCTTGATACTGATTCATTCTGGTCTACAAATGCTAGGCTTGGAGGTACAACCCAGAGAGTCCCCTGGGTGGATGTCAAGCTTTCTTCTGTTCCTCCACCAGATGAAATAATTCTTTCAGCTGCTGCACTTGAAGGTGAACCTCCTTTATCTGCATAAGATGAGGCTTCATTGAGGTTATGAAATATGAATGCCATTGAAATGATTTAGAACTACAATGGCACAAAAGTTCAACAGAGTTTCTTACCAGCAATACAGAAAGCTTCATCAAGTGCCGAATTCGAATGTGATCTTTCAGTTGCTGTTGGGCTGGAATCATAAACAGGTTCCACAATATGGCTGTCATGAACATGATCTGTTTCCACATTCACAACATCGGAGTCTGCTACAATGGTCTTCGAGGAAGCAGTTGAGCCTTTTGAGGAACCATCACTCGTTTGTTCCAGGTCAGGACTATTCTTTTCTGCTTCTGATGGAGTAGAGGAACTCGACTCATACTCTTCATCGATCACTTCAACCCTCTCAGCAAAAGAATCGGCCAAATTCAGTACCAAGTCTCTGCTGGTGTCATCATTGGCTGTTCCAAAGCTTTCATCGGCTTGATGAGTTTCTTCCATGAGCATGCTGTCACTCGGATGAGTTGCGTAATCATTAATTATGTTTATCTGACTCTCTACTTGTTGAACATCCACTGACTTAACATCCTCTAAGGATTGGCTGTTTTGTTCAATAGGAATTGTTTCATGTTTAGTAGAAGACCCACTCCCTAGAAGCAAGTCTTTCTGATGTTCCTGATCAATGACTGAGGAAACTGCATCAGATTCTGAAGTAGAACTCAGTTTTGAATCACTACTTCCACTTGATTCTCTGTGCAGACCAGCATAAGCTGTCTCCTGAGGTTCATTCTTTTCTGCACCAAAATAAGCCTTGAACCGGGAAGCACGCTTCTCAACCTTAAAATCACTGAAAAATGAAGCACCAACTGAGAAGCTCTCATGCCTTCTGATAAACATATCACGCTGTGGAACTGCAACAAACTCCTGGTTTGAGTTCTCCTCATCATATATCTGCTCATAAGAAAGATCAAATGGATTTTGCCTCGGTAAGAGTACTGAAGGAGCTGAACCAGGAATTGATTCATCCGAATCATAGGGAAGATCAAACGGATTCCTTCTTGGTGCACTAACAGATGGAAGTTGAGCATAAGCCTGTGATGTCTCCTCCATGTTATCATCCAAGTCTATTAAGTTCTTCTCTGTTGCCTTCTTTGCTTCTCGTTTAGCTATTAAGTTCTCCAGCCAGCGATTCCTTTCGAGTTCAGACTTGCCGAGATCCATGAGATTCTTCTGATCATCTGCAGTCCATGTTACAACGACTTTGTTTCCGTCATCTTTCTCCTCTTGTAACTCTTCATCATCTTCATCATCTTGGTTTTCAGCTTCATCCTCTGTGCTACCATCATCTGAGACATGGTTCTGTGAGAATGCTACAGAATCATCTTCAGAATTGTCCTTTGAAACGAGCGGGTCGAGCTCATCAAGAATCGGTACAGCATTTGCCACAGAAGAATTAGAGATATCTGTTCCATCATATTCAGAATCGGAAGAAGCATCCTTGTGATTGATGTGATGCCAAGAAGAATCCAAACAAGAGTCATGACATCGGTCCAATTTAGTTTTATCAGCATTCACACCAAGAACTGTAGTGATCTTTTCAGCACAACCGATACCTTCACTGGCTTCTATCAAATCTTCAACCAGCCTTCTTGCAGCATGTTTATCTTCAATCAAGTTATTATCTTCCTCAACTGAATAAACAGAAGTAGCATCTGTTTGATCCAGCTCATTAAGCTTGCTACCACCCAAAACAATTGTCTTTACTGTCATTCTCTTAGTTGCTCCTTTACTCCCTACACGAGATCTGACTTTGAACTTTTCCTCATTCTTGGCCACAAGATCATTTGCAACTGACTCATTCTTCAGAGATGAACTTGCATCAATTAACTTATTATCTTCTTCATTCTCAGAAACATTCGGTCTGGCAAGACCCAGAAGGATTCCAAGAAGAAGACTTGTGCAAACAATGATCGGGGAAGAATTTACAAGAAGATCAAACAGTGAAGGAAAAAACTTGTACACTATAAACAAGAGGGCAACTACACCAACAGAGAACGGATGATAACAAGCAGTTATCCATCTTCTTTTCCTCGACCACATTAGAACTGTTTCTTTACTCAGTACTATGACCACAGCCTCAATCACTAAGATCTTTTTTCTCTATTGTTTCTCCTCTTAGGAATCTGTAGGCAAAAAAAGGAAAGAAAAGTGAATATGGCACTAACTTTGAACTAGCAAAGGAATTCCAGTTGTAAAATCTTCTTAGCTGAGAAAACAAAGATTCATAATGGCTACAGAGAAGATAAATTTAAATGATACAATACATACTGTTTTTTTTTTTTTGCCTTCATTTTATGAAGTCATGGTTCAACAAAACCTAATTTACAAATCAGTGGATGAAGCCGTGCATCAATTCACTAAAAACTTTAAGATACTTTGCTTTTCCTTTCTTCATTTTTGGATCTAAATATACCAACTTAGTCTCAAATAAATATGCAAATAATCTTAAAATCCACACGTCTGAACATTTCTCATGAACAAGTCAGAGAATATAAACACCAAACGAAGAATACCAATATTTACTTCTCTCTCTATATATGTAGTGTCAGGTTGAGACCATTTCCTTTGAACTCCTACTTAGTCAAATAATCAATCAAGAAACTGCGAGAACCATTATATACTGGCTAAAATTTCTGGAGAGATATAATACCATAGTTATGAGGCGATTGTAGTTTCATCCAAGACTCCAATTGGGTGGTCCAACATCAAGAGAATTGCAATGATCCAAAGCAAAGCAAAAAAAGTGTCACATGAAAACAGGATCATTAACTTTTTTTACAAGAAAATAATATGATTTCCAAGAAAAAAGCATAAGTTTTTCCATGTAGGCAAGAGAATCTAATATCTCAATATGTTGCAGATCCCTCTACAAAGTTATCCCTTATATATTCACTCCTCAAACCTGAAAAATGTGAAAAGAATATGCAGGAAAAAAATATTTATCATACCATGAGATCAGGCATGGAAAAATGTCTCATCTTTTGCTCTCTAACATCCAATGTTTTGTCTCATAGTTGAAGACAAAATCCATATAAAAGAAGAATACAGACGATTGCTCTAAATCATATCCCTCTTCTACGTAAAATTGTAAAATTTGTGATTCTTAACATAGAGAGAGAGATGCATCATCTCCATTATTATCGATCAAAATCGATAGAAACTGTACGAGTGGCAGCAGCGAAAATCGGTGCACACATCTCTCAACGCAATAACATGTCCTAAAGCAAATAGACCTCTAATCTACCAAAAATCATATCATTTACCAACATGGATCAAAGAATAATGGATTGCGTTCCAAAGAAGTCGTCCAAGAACACAACATAAATCTCAGGAAGAAGATGACCTACATTTGTGGCGGTAGATTCTGCACCTCCGTCTGTTCGGACATAAGATCTTCTCCAAACAATGGAATTCAATTGAATGCGAGAGAGAGAGAGAGAGAGAGAGAGAGAGAGGAGCTCCTCAAACCTATCGGAAACGGAGCACGTCCAATTGGGTCGCCAATTCAAATAGGGGTTGGGAGACCGAGAAGAGCTGCTAGGCCCAGTACCAACCACGTGGCGCTACTTCATTGGTCTAAGTCATCTCCTAACCCGGGCTTCTTCTTGAGAGAAACCAGAAAGAAGGAAGTTGGCAACTGTGCTTGAACCGAATCCAGCCCGATTTTGACCGGTGGACTCGATGGTTCGGGTAAATTCTATCCGGTCGAGTCGGATTGATGGGTTTCGGTAGCCACTAATCATGGTTGACTTTGGTCAATTGGTACATCGCATTAAATTAAGTCACGTTATACTGCCAGAACTAAATCTATATAATTAGGACATTAGCCCGATTATTTAAGCATTTTCTATCTTTTCTAGATCGAATTTTAGTCGAATAATCTGATAATTTTGAGAATTTAGGACTAAATCTATGAATTTCTAGAAGAATTAAGTCACATTAGCCATGTGGGAGATTTAATTTTTCTAGATGAATTCTCTTAGGTTTCTATCCCCAATCTAAATTGCTTAGCATATCCATTCTTAAACTTTGATGTCGGAAGATCTTAAATGGCATACAATAGAGTTTTGATTGCAAATAAATAGCAGGAGATAGTTGATGTATGCTGTTCTTGTTTTGATTGCACTCACTGCAAGAACTATAGATAACAAAGAAAGCATGAGAACCACAATTCTCTTCTTCAACAAAATGATTCTAAAGAATCCACAGAATCATTCATGCAATTACAAATGCTACATGACAGTAAAACCAAACCGTGAAGAAACTACAATCCACAGTACTAATAACTGTTCTCAGGAGAAACGTGACAGATAGCACTCATGCTGAACAGGCCCGTGTGTTTATTACACGATAAGAAAAGCCTACTTGCAGCAACAATTTTCACAAGAAAACACACGACCTGTCGTGATCAATCTGAAAGAAGCATTAACAATGATCATATGAGCCAACAAGATGAAGTCCTCCATGACCATTTCTCAGGAAAACTTCATACCTGTAACCAATGGTAAGCAGAATTTTGGAGTCCCACGATCAAGGTCAAGGAAGCTCGGGCATTTGACACGCATCAGGCATCTTATTCCATGGATAAGATTCAAGCCCAAATCCTTGCAGAGGATTAGATGATGCCCCAGCAGGCACCATCTTGGTATCTTTGCAAAAGTCTTGATCCAAGAGTGTTGCTATTGCATCATTCGAAACAAAACAATCTTTTCCAGCTTGAGAACTTTCCTCGAGCCAACCTGATCCCAGTACAGCTTCAGGTTCAGGGAAATCTGTTTGAGATAAGACGTGTTTCTCCTCCACATTAGGGGTTGAAATTTGTTCAG